AATACTCCTTCTGGTTATTTTTTTTCTTAACAAGGCAGGTGTACAATGTGTACTTGGCAGAAATAGAGCCCATACCTTGAGGTTTTTCCAAGTCATTTTGCCTTTGGTAAATGTTAAATTATAGCTTCCCTGGGAGTCCAGGAGCAGGGCTCACAAACATTAAAAGTTGAAAATTTCCTTTATCATGGGTGATGCCATTCATTTCTATCAGAAAGCATGTAATGTCCATTGTCCTTATTTTTGTCCTGCTCACAGCCATCAATGGCTACCAGCTCTTATGTAACATCTGTCTGGTCATTTTGATTTTAGCTTATATTCATTTAGAGTCCACAGGAAAATCTCATGTGAATATTTCTCTATTCTTTGTTAGCTTACCTATACCCTTGAAACCTGGAGGTCAGTTTAGATATAAAATCCTTGACGCATGTTTTAGTGCCTTGAGTATCTCAGTACTTCGCTCCACTGGCTTCTGCTATTAAGCATTTTTGTTGACAAGTTTAATGATAATCTGTTTTTTTTATCTTTTTTTAGTAACTCAGATTGTTTCATTTTTGTTTTGTTTTTTTAATTGCTGGACAACCAAAGGTGTTCTTACGTTTGTCTGTTTTCCTTTAAAGATTAGTAGATTTACTATAATTTATATTGGAGTTGGTCATTCTGGGTCAATTTTCCCAGGTACATAGTGTACCCTTTGAACATTAATTATAGGAAAAAAATTTAAATCATAGTTTTATAGTATTTGCTCTTATCCACTATTTTCTTCTCTAAGGTCTCCCTTTATATACATACAGTACTTTCTTTATCCTGTATTTGTTACTTTCTTTCAAAATGTTTTCAGCACTTCAGATACACACAGTACAATTCAGATTTTCCTGTTACAGTTTGATCAGCTCTGGAAAATGCACAGGTCTGTGCAACTTGTGCTCCACCAAGATGCAGTTTGTGTGCATTACTTGAGGACACCCTCATGCCCTGTCCACGCTGAGCTCTTCCTGCCCTGAGCCAGACAACCTTGCCTTTGCTTCTGTAATACAACACTGTCTGCTCTAGAATTTTATATAAATTGAAGTATTCATGCTTTTTAAATTTAACACATTTTTCTATTTTGCATGTTCTCTTTACTTTAAGGTATGATCCACTGTGCTTATTCACTCTTGTCTCCCTTCTGGTTTAGCCTTGATTTTTGAAATTAATTTATTTCTAAATTTCCCCAAGTTCTGTTCACGTCTTTTTCTATTCTCAAATCACATTGCTTCTGATTTGCTCCCCAGTTCTAATATATGTTGTTCTCTCATAATTTCTATTCTTTTCTCAATTGCTTTTAGATCATTTTGAAATATCAGATTCTGGTTTCACATGAGCATGACTTTCTGGTATGTTTATTGTCCAACTACTATTATAGTGACTTATGTAATTGCTTTCCTTATCATTGATTTGAACTTTAATGTTAGAAATGCATCTTTCTATATCCAGCAAGCACCTAACATAGTGTCTTACAATAATAAACTTTGATAAATATATATTTTATTGAAATGAAACTTAGAATATTATGATCAGTGGTGAGATTTTTTTACCACCTTGTCAAAAAGCTGTGTCTAATCCCATAAAACCCAAGACTCATGGGCCAAGAGGTACAAATCATGGAGCTGAAAAGCACCTACCTGAAGTTTCTCTTGTTTAATTGCAATTAATAATTCCACTTTCATAAGCAACTTGCCCAAGATTATATAAACATTTAGTAGTAAAGCTAGGGCTAAATCCATGGTTTCCTGGTTTTTAGTATAGCGCTCTTTATATCATGACAGTCTCAAAGTGATGAAAACCTGTTTCTATATGATATGAAGTTTGTATGGATGTTGCACACCTACTTTCTGTTTTTTTTTTCTTTTCACAATCACTATCTGTTTTCTTATTTGCCTTATATTCACTCAAACTTGTGGGTAGGAGGGTTCTTTGAGTAGTGGTACAGAGAGTAAGAACCAGGGAAGGAGGAATAACTGAGGATCACAGGCAGAGACATGGAGGCCCTGCCCCCTTCCTCCTGCCAGCAGCTGTAAAAGCAGCAGGTGTAGCATGATTGACATGATGCCCTTCTACCAGCTTCCTCTGCTAGACTCATAGAAACAACCTTCAAGACTTCACCCAGAGAACAAAATTGGAAGCTTGGCAGTTAATGTAGTCCAGAAAGAGTTTTGTCAATAGGAGGCAGCATCTGAGACATAATAGAGTCTGTTTAATCAAGTGAGAGGCAACCACTGGTTCTGAAATTCATGGACTGAGAAGAAAATATAAAATAAGCAAAATATTATTTGTTATACAATATAACCAATTATATGTATATATATGTATGTGCGTGTGTGTATGTTGTAAGGATAGCATTTTCTATCTTTAAATGTAGCAGAATTTTCTTTCTGCTTTATTTCTGAGCTGCTAAACTCTGGCTGAGGGAAAGCTGTTATCAGAGAGGAGAGGATGGATGTAAACAGAGGAAATGAGCTATTAGGAATTATGATTTGAAATACAATATTGAAGGATGCTGCAGTAACAAAAGTAAAATTCTACTAATTTTGGCCTCTTTTATTCAAATGTAATCATAGCTTATGATGCTCAAAGTTGGAAAAATTCACTTCAGGGAAGAAAACAAAAGTTCTTGGGGCACTTGGGTGACTCAGTGGGTAGAGCATGTGACTCTTGATCTCAAGGTTGAAAATTCAAGCCCCATTGTTAGGTGTGGAGATTACTTAAAAATAAAATCTTAAAAAAAAACAAAGTCCTTTAAGAGTATTTTATATATTGATCTGAATGCTTTTTTAAAAGATAGTATATAATCCATTGTACGATTGAGCCAACTTGTGCAACTAAAACTTGCACTATATACTGTAGAACAGCACCCCTTAGTTTTATGTGCAAAAAAAATCACTTACTATGGTGTTAAAATGCAGATTCTGGTTTAGTAGTTCCAGGTGTACTGAAGATCCCACCTTTGTTACAAACCTCCAGGTGGTGCCAATGTTGCTGGTTCTCAGCTAAGCACTTTAGGTGTCAAACTGTGGACAGCACCTCAGAGACCTAAGCTGTGCATGCCTCAAGATGCTGCAATATCAAATTCACATTTGAGGCTTGTGCAGCTCAAGGTGATCACTAAGTAGTGATTATTCTAATCTCATAACACTTGAGACTTTATTTCAACAGACGTTCATTGAGTACTTGCAGTATCAGGTGCTAGAAAGAGTAAGGATAATACTGGTTCTTTAGTCTCAAGTAGCTCCGGGACAGAGCAGGGGCAAAGGCTGGAGGAAGATGTTGACATTAGCAGCTGTGATGTTTGCAGAAGAGGATGCAACAGGAGCCATAACACTGTAGCACTGTAGTGCCTGAGAACACATCAGTAAAAAGGGAGGTTGCTCTGGCTGGGCAAGAGCACGTGACTCCATTGAAGAGGTGGGGGTTGAACAGATGCAACCACATGTCTTTTTTTTTTTTTTAATGTTTATTTTATTTTTGTGTGAGAGACAGAGCACGAGCGGGGTAGGAGCAGAGAGATAGGGAGACACAGAATTCAAAGTGGGCTGCAGGCTCTGAGCTATCAGCACAGAGCCCGATGCGGGGCTTGAACCCACAAACTGTGAGATCATGACCTGAGCCGAAGTCGGACACTTAACCGACTGAGCCACCCAGGCGCCCCCACATTTTTGGGGGGTAAATACACAATAGTGGAATTAATAGATCATATGGTATTTTTATTTTTAACTTTTTGAGGAACCTCCATACTGTTTTCCACAGTGACTGCAGCAGTTCACATTCCCACTGTCAGTGCACAAGTGTTCCGTTTTCTCCACATCTTCACCAACACTTTCTTTCCTGTCTTTTTGATACTAGCTATTCTGACTGGTGTGAGGTCATATGTTATTGTGCCTTTGATTTACATCTTCCTAATGATAAGTGATGTTGAGTATCTTTTCATATGTCTATTGGCCATTTGTATGTCTTTTTAGGAAAAATGTATGTTTAGGTCCTCTGCCCATTTTTAAATCAGATTGTCTTTTGTTTTGTTTTGTTCTTTGGTGTGAGTTGTGTAAGTTCTTTGGATATTAACTTCTTATCAGATACATCATTTGTAAATATCATCTTCCATTCCATAGACTGCCTTTTTGCTTGTTGATGGTTTCCTTTGTGGTGCAAGGAAATTCATTATCTCCAAAATCTTGGTCTTTGGTATCTTTCTTTCTCCTCCTCCTCCTTTTTTTTTCTTCTTAATATTCAGAACCCTAGAAAGGAACATGATCTAGCTAGAAACAATTTAGAAGCTTCTTAATTGTCTCCCAAATATGTAGATGTTTTTCTAAGTTGAATCCAATTAAGACAGGGGAATTACTGGTTCAACTCCTGGAACCATGTTGGAAGACCAGGAGGCATTTCTCATACATACATTAGAATGTATTAGAATGTACATGTTAAGTGTTTCCTCAGTTGGGGAATTCCATATATGGTACTAATAGTGTGGGTTTTCCTGTCATTTATCTTCTAAATCTGTGTGGGACATTATTTTAAACCCTTTCTTCCTTGAGCATGTGTTTTCTACTCAAATAAATAGCCATGGGCCTGGGAAGAGTCAATTCCCATTACAGATTTACAGCCTTATTTTCCCTTTGGCCTAGCCTGATGCTAATGTGATTGGATTTATCCGAGAATTTCAAGATGTCTGCTGGCAATCACAGGATTCTCTAGAGCTACAGTGGTTCAAGTTCCTGCAGAATTCCTTTATTTGGAAGCAAAATCTTTATAGAGATGTGAGTAATCAATATCATTTTCTCTGACTGGCTGCTCAGATAAAGCCTTTTTTAAATTGGTAGAATAGGTAGAACTAGAATGTCATCTGACTCCCCCAGCTTCTATGCGTGTTGGGTGACTAGTGCATGCTGAAACAGCAACAGTCTGGGTGATTAACTTTTTTTTCAGGTGTGATTTTCTTATCTCATCTCTGTTTCCTCTTCCTCCAGGAGAAATGGGTCCCAGGAGACAAGTGTGACCTTGGAGTGCAGCCCGCCAGCCTGACACCTGGTTGGAGAGGGAGAGAACCATGGACGGCATAATTGAACAGAAGAGTGTGCTGGTGCATAGTAAAATCAGTGATGCTGGCAAGAGGAATGGGTTAATTAACACCAGAAATTTCATGGCTGAGAGCAGAGATGGCCTGGTGTCTGTTTACCCAGCACCACAGTACCAGAGCTGCTGTGTGGTAGGCAGCGCAGCGGCAGCCACCCTGGACAGCAGCAGGAGTGAACCAGTCCAGCAGCTGCTAGACCCCAACACCCTTCCACAGTCTGTGGAGTCCCATTTCCGTCCCAACATCATTCTCTACTCAGAGGGCGTGCTGCGCTCTTGGGGGGATGGCGTGGCTGCCGACTGTTGTGAGACCACCTTCATTGAGGACCGGTCACCCACCAAAGAGAGCCTGGAGTACCCTGATGGGAAGTTCATCGACCTCTCACCTGACGACATCAAGATCCACACCCTGTCCTACGATGTGGAGGAGGAGGAGGAATTCCAGGAGTTGGAGGTCAGAGGATGTGTTTATTATAAGCCTTTGGAACAGGGCAGGGGGATTGGGTGGGGACCCATGAGTGCCAGGCAAAAATTAAGAAATGAAACTAGTGTGTGAAAAATACAGAGAAACTGAAGCATTCTTAAATATCCATTGAAAATGGAGTGGAGAAAGTCTAGGTAACCAACACCCAGTGGGGGCTTCAGCAGGAATGCTGGCAGAGAAAACACAAGGTAATGGCTATCAGACTGGAGCTCCTGCTAGAGTTAAGGGTCGCCAGCACTAAAAATCACTTGGGGATTCCTGCTAATTAATGCTCTACACTCAGGAGAGAGGGATTATTGGCAAAAGTGATCAAAGTGAGAGGGAGGCTCATGGTCCTAGGGCTACATGAGGCTGGAAAGGCCTGTGTGGGGACAATTTGAGGATTATTTTTGCTGCCACATGTAGTTTCCTTAATTTGGCATTCTTGAGTTTCTACTAAGAGAGACTTGGTACAGCTAAAGCCTGATGGAAGAAATAGTAGGAATGCTAGCCTAAAGGAAAGATGAGTTGAGTTGTTACAAGAGTCACTTCTACAGTAGACTGGAGGACAGGTCAAGGCATTTGGATTACATGATTTGAAACATTCATTTTGGACATAGTGTAACACAGCATAGCAGCCAAGCAGACCAGAAGCATCAGGCCTAGAAGTGCATTGAGAATCAGAAGCTGCTGGAGACAGACAGTTTTAATCAGAAAGGAAAATTCAGAAATGGGAAATGTCATGTAGCAGTCCTTGTGAATGGAGTACATGAAAACCAACTGTCAGGGAAGTCAAAAGAAGTCAAGCTGTGGGAAACCAGAGAATTCAAGTAGTGGGAGAGGCCATCAGAGCAAACCTTCACACCCTCTGGGTGACACCTGCTAAGGCGAGGAGGAGGGTGTCAGCTCTGGCCATACTAAAGTTTTGAGAAAGCTGCAAGAAGTACTTTGGCTTGCATTCACAAGCCACTGTCAATTGTCCACTCTTTTCCAAAGCCTGAGGGTTTTACTGAATGCAAAAATATAAATACCACTTGAACTGCATGAAGTTCAGGAAGCAGATATACAAAAGTGCAATTTCCACATAACACAAGAGTTATGATAGTAGAGTACCCAGTATGCTCTGAGAGCATCCAAAGTGTGGAGGATGGGACTCTAAGCATAATGTGGGGGGTCAGTAGTCATTACAGAGGAAGCATTCCCTACACTGTATCTTGAGGAAGAGAACCAGACTGTAATCAAGAGAGCACACGGGGAGGTAGCAAGAGAATTCTGGTCCAAGAGGACATCATGAGCAGATAAAGCACATAAGTGTCCAACCTAGGTCTGCAGGGAACGGTAACTGACTATAATTATAAGATCTGTGGAACATGGTGAAGTTGGGGAGACAGAACCAAGAGGAAGTGAGTTTCCATAACTGAGGACTATACCAGCCTTCCAAGGGAGGCCGGATTTTAGGTGATATCTCAAACCCAGATACAAGAAGGAAGGACAGGACATCAAGAAGGAACCCTAGGAAGGGGTGTGTCCTGAGACTGGAGAGCGCAGGCCCACCCATCTAAAGCTTCAGCCCTCCTCAGCTACCACCCCATAGGCCATGCTGCCAGTTACCTTGAAGATTACCATGGGCATAGAAACCATTGAGGAGTTTCAGGCAGGAGGGCTGCAGTCAGATCTGAGTTTTTGGAAACTGCAATGGCTGCAGAGTGGGACAAAGTGGGGAGATGGAGGGTAAAGAGGAGGGGCATGGGGCTAGGACCAAACTGGAGGTACAGAGCTTTGGAGGAATTGTCATAAAACACAATGTGAGTGAGAATCAGGACAGCAGTAAAAATGAAGAAATACTTAGAAAGTGAAGTGTGCCATTGTTTGGAGATGGTGCAAAGGAAGGGGTCAGGACTGTCCTGTGCAGAGATGTCTTTAAGCCTCCAAATGGCCAAGCTGGCTAGCAGAGGATTTTCAGCTTTGTTAAGAATATTTGGAAAATCAGGGGCACCTAGGTAGCTCAGTCAGTTGCGTGTCCAATTTCAGCTCAGGTCATGATCTCACAGTTTGTGGGTTTGAGCCCTACGTTGGGCTCTGTGCTGACACCTCAGAGCCTGGAGCCTGCTTCAAATTCTATGTCTCCCTCTCTCCTGTCCTCCCCCCCACCCCGACTTGTGCTCATTCTCCCTCTGTCTCTAAAAAATAAATAAAAATGTGGGGCGGCTGGGTGGCTTAGTCGGTTAAGCGTCCGACTTTCGCTTAGGTCATGATCTCACGGTTCGTGGGTTCAAGCCCCACGTCGGGCTCTGTGCTGACTGCCAGCTCAGAGCCTGGAGCCTGTTTTGGAGTCTGTGTCTCCCTCTCTCTCTGACCCTCCCCTGCTCACGCTGTCTCTCTCTCTCTCTCTCTCCTAGAAATAAATAAAAAACATTAAAATAAATAAATAAATAAAAATGTTAAAAAATAAAATTAAAAATATTTGGAAAATCAGCTCCAATATATAATTTCCACCAAAATTTAAAATTTTGGGGTAGTCGAATGTCTCTATCATTACTCTGCTACTTGTGTTACTCCTCCCTTCCTCTCCTTGAATCCATGCATTTAAAGTCCATTTCCTTGAATAACTACATTACGCCAGGGTCAGTGAAGATGAACAGGTGGATAACACATCTTCTTGGTCTTTAGTCCACTTCCATTCTGTGGTTTCACAACAAACTACACTGAAAAGAATCTTATCCCTTTTCCTTTAAGACTTGCATAGGATTTAGATTGAGCTTGCAAATAAATACAACTATTATTTAAATGCAAATGTTCTTTTCATAGTATGTCTTAATCTACATTTTTGACAATCAATTACTGAATCCATTTTTTTTTTGCAATAATTTTCACAGTGACCTCAGCCAGTAGATGTGGTTTTTGGAACTTTGAAAAGGACCACAACCTACTTAGAGTCAATCTTTTAAATTAAATGTCAGGAGATGGGTCACTGGGGCAACAAGCTTTTCTACCTGGTCAATCCAAGGCTTTGACAGGTAGTGCAGGCTTCTGGAGAGGTGAGCTCTGCCGCCCAGTTTGTTTTCCTGTCCTGGCAACAGCAGAGAGAGTCCATCAGAAACAGTTATTTTAATGATACAGCAGCTGGAATCTTTAGTCGTGATTACAGTGCCTGCTGTGTACTAATATTTTTGTAGTCACCTGTGACTATAGTGGTAGGAAGGAGCATATTTGCATTTATATCTTTGCCAGAAGGGGTCCACCCAAAGTTTAAAAGCTGTGCTGTCTCTTATGAGACTTTCTGTTTGGCATCCAGGGAACAAATCCAGACCAAGAGATCGCTCTCCCCACAGGCTCTGAGGGAAAGGTATCAAGGCACAGTTATGGTGGCTGGTACGCCCTCACTGCTGTTTAGCATAGCCATGAAGTATTCTAGAGGGTCATCCAAAGTGATGGATTTGGTCCATTAGGAAATCTGTAAAATAAGACATTTGCTCAGCAACATTCTTATGGTATAGCCATTGTACTCTTTATTCACGAAGAAAAACTAGTGAGTGGTTAGAAGTGTCAGCATGCAGGGGTGCCTGGGTGGCTCAGACGGTTAAATGTCCAACTTTGGCTCAAATCATGATCTTGCAGTTTGTGAGTTCAAGCCCTGTCTCAGGCTCTGTGCTGACAGCTCAGAGCCTGGAGCCTGCTTTGGATTCTGTGTCTCCCTTTCTCTCTATTCCTTCCCCACTCTCTTTCTCTCTCTCTCTGAAAAATAAATAAAGATTAAAAGAAGAAGAAGTGTCAGCATGCATGGAACAACTGTTCTAAAGTTTACTGTTTTTCCATTCCATGAAATAATAAAGGGAGCTTTATCAGTCAACATTTGCTGAATTACAAATCCCTAAAAACTTAGTGGCTTAAAACAACTATTTATTTAGGTCATGATTCTCAAGGTCAACAACTGGAATGCATCTCAGCTGGATGGTTCTTGCTCTGCTAGTCTTACCTGGGTCCCCTCAACTGGTCTGTGGGTAGCTACTGCTCAGAGACCCAGCTGTGCTTAAGAATGCTGGCTGGCCATTGGCTGGGATGAAAGAGGTGGCTGGACCACATGACTCTCATCATCCAGCAGATCGCTCCATCACATAGCAGTCATGGTAGAGATTCCAAGAGTAGCAACAGCGTGAGTCCCAATGTGCAAGGGCTTTCTAAGCCTTTGCTTGTGTTAGGCATGATGCTGTCTTATTGGCCAAAAAAAGACACACAGCTAAGCCCAAAGTCAGGGACTTCTTAGGGTGGCAATACAGGGAAGTGCAAACAAATTGGGTGCCAATTATTGTAGTCTATAGTCTATCATAGAGCAAAAAAAGTTTAGCCTATCTGACATATCTTTTTAAGATCATCTAATTGAACAGAGTGACAACAGTCATGGTTATATTGTGACTTAAATAGAAAATACAGTAGATATTGATTTGAGGCTCTTCCCAAAATGCAGTACGACTTCAGAAAAAACAACAAAAAATGAGAATTTAACTTCTCAGGGAATTCTATAGCTTCACTTGGTCTATAGCAAATCAATGCCATTTCCTGAAAATTGTAGTTTTCAGAAAGCCATTGCCTTGGTAAACATCAGGGGTCCTTGTCTTTGGAGTTTCTGTGGACCAGGAAACCTGCCTCTTACCTGTCCCCTTCTCCACTCTACCTGGAGAGGTTCATCACTGGTGTTTATAATGGAGAGTCCCTGATCCAGAGAGGTTTGCTCATCCGATGCACATTTCTGCAAGAACATGTGGAGTTTTCAGTTACCCTTTGAGATCGTATTTACGTGAATAGGTTCTGTAGCTAATTTCAAAAATCTTTTTTTAAATTTTTTAAAATAGATTTTGTATATTTTTGAGACAGAGAGAGACAGAGCATGATCAGGGGAAGAGCAGAGAGAGAAGGAGACACAGAATCTGAAACAGACTCCAGGCTCTGAGCTGTCAGCACAGAACCTGATGTAGGGCTCAAACCCACGAACT